CCCCCGGCCCCAGCCAAAAACACCACCGCACGATCATGCAATCCCCGGGGTCCCGCCTCCTACATCCCAATCCCTCCAAACCTCCGAACCACCAATCTTCTAGTAGAATCTCCAAACTCAATCTCCGAATTTCCCCCGTCTTTCAAGGAACGATCGGAGCCGGGATCCAGGGTCTGATCGATGCAAAAAAGCCCCTGACTCAGGTACTGGATATTCCGGTGTATATCGGGTTTCGGATCTGGGAGGGGGGAAGGGGGTCCAGATTAATTAATATATCCGGGACGGGGGGGCTCGTGAGTCATGTTTTATCGTCGATAGGGGGGTTGGTATATTAAGGGTTAGGGGGATATTGATTCAGGGTCATGTTTGTGAATAGTATAGTAATTACGGTCTGATTTGTGCTATACATGAATGTTTGCTGGTAGGTCGGGGTTTTGGGGCACCGGGTTGGTGGTGTTTATTCAGGGAGTTGGGTGCTTCGGTCGCGAAGGAGTGGGGCTGGATTATTATGTCTCTGATGAGAATCAAGTTACTGGTCTACCTTCCTTGGCAACAGGCGAGGATTGAAACTGATAAGTGTACTCCGCCAGATGGGGATATACTATTAGTCCTTGAAGGGGTCTCAGAAGACCGAAGCATCGGTGGGCAATTAGGTCGGGACAAGAGATCTAAACCAGAGACTTGTGGCTAGGGACACTCAAACTATAACCAGAAATCCTCCCATCAACCTTCCAATGGAGCAGGCAAAAGTACACAAATTCAGATCTCATTTGCAGCATCGACAAACGAGCAAGAACAAGAGCAACCCGGGCTCAGAAAAATACTTCCCTCATATTCAAGCCAATGAGATATAGCCCAACCCGCAGCCAACCACGAGGTCTTCCACTCATAATCCAAGAAATAGGTATCACACGAACAAACCTACAAACGATAGTCCACAAGAAATCAGCAACTTCCATTCCCTTTATTCATTACGCTTCACTCAAAAACATCTCCGCTCACCTTCTGACAGTCTCTCGATCAAACCCCCTCCGTCCCCGCATGAGCCTGCACCGGATAGAACACCGGCTCGGGTCTCTTCATCGTCGAGTCGTCGGCGGTCGCCTGGTGGTAGTACGGCGACTGCCCGTACTGCGCCGCCACCGCCTGCTGCGTCTGATACTGCACGTATTGCTGCTGTTGCTGGAACTGCTGTGCGCGGATCTCATCCTCCTTCTTCTCGCGCTTGCGGTCCCGCCGGTACTTGATGAGGAAGTAGATGACGCATCCGACGAAGATGCAGAAGAGGATGGGGATGATGATGACCTTGCCGATGATCTTGGCGAGGCCCATGATGTGGATTTGTCTCAGGGTCTGTCTCGGGTTGGTCGGGTACACAAGGCTTTGAAGGATATTCTTCTAAGGTCTAGTGATTGATATGCCTGGCATGCAGTGGCTCAGAGATGTGCTTGTGTTCAGAATTGGATGAATGCTTTCTCGGTCGGGGACAGTGGTTATATCTCCTTTCCCCTCAGGTGGATTGCAACTTCAATCGTTAGGCAATCATATTCTGGAGGCCTAGCAGGGATGGCGCTGGAGTCCGCCAACGAGATCGCATGCTAGCCCTGCTGCTGGGCGCTATACTCCAGGGTGTGATTCGGCAGGTTCGATGTGGGTGCAGAGTGAGGGGGCCCAGACATCGACTATGCGGGCGATGGCTGATACATCACAGACGAGGCCCGTCACCTGCATCCGAGACGCGTTGTGATCCCAGTGAGAAAGCTTAGCTGGGGGTGAATGGGGCAGATCCTGAGAGCAAGAGGTGAGCGGTTTTCATGCGGGCCAATCATGGGGGTCAGCTTGCCGCCGCGGAAGGGACAGCCCATGCAGAATCAAACCCATAGGGCTGTAGGGCCACGAATAATATCGGGGAAAGATTGTGATAACCGTGACAAGCAATATTGGTGTCTGCCTGGCTCATAGTCGGGCGGTTATGGAATTAACTTGGGAAGAGAGCTTGTGGCCAGTGGGGAGGTCGGAGAGTGGCTCGTGGAGATTTCCTTGCACTGGAGGCAGAGGTCGTTCCTGGTATGTAATCATATCGCTCGAGCGAAAATCTATAATTGTACAACAGACGAGCCCTCTATAATAAAATAACAGACAAAGACCGAAGACTGAAAATGAGAATCAGAATGGCTTCGTTGTTGGGTGATGGTCCCCCCAAGACATAATGGCGCGCTAAATGGCCATCAGTATTGCGGAACTACTTCATACTCAGAAGAGACTGATGGAATAATTCGGCCCCAAAGCACTCTTCAACAGAAACAAAGCCAGAGAAATGAGGACACGACGGTCGCAACCTGAACCTCCGTTGCTTGCCCCAGGCAGTAAACGGCTGACCAGGGCGGCCGTGGAGTCCGCGGGCTCCGCGGAAAACACGGAGAGCACGGAGAGCACGGAGAGCACGGAGAGCACGGAGGGAACGGAGAGCATGGAAACCAAGCTCACAGTCGAGTTTGGAAATGGACGTCAATGGTTGAGTATAAATCTCTAGGGTTATTCTTTTCTTGAGCCATGGTCGAATCATTACAAGCATCAAGATGTCCGCGATCAGTACTGCTGATAGGTTCGTGCCTTTGATGTTTGGGTCTCGTCATCCGAGCCTGGACGGTATACTGACTGACACTTCCGAGTTACAGCCAACAGCCCGAGATCCATCAACCTCGTCAAAGAACAGAACAACTCGAGACAACCAGCGCTTCCTATGAAGATGAACCGATTACCTTTGAATTCGGAGGCGCACCGGGAGTTGCGCTTCTCATGATTGGTTTTCCACTCCTCATGTACTATATGTACATCGGGGCGACGTTCTACGACGGCCAACTTCCCTTGCCACGCCCTGGAGAATCGCTCGCTGAATTTGGATCACACCTTCTCGACCTCGCCTACACACATGCCTTCCCTCATCGCAAAGCTTGGGTCATATACTGGACGTTTCTCGTCTTGGAAGGGCTTGGATACCTCTATCTGCCCGGAGTATACGGTAAGGGAAAGTGCCTGCCACACCTGAATGGCAAGCAACTCGATTATTATTGCTCAGCCGCCGCCTCCTGGTATGTCACCATTGTGGCTGCGCTGGTCTTGCATTTCACCGGGCTTTTCCCCTTGACCACTCTCATCACCGAGTTTGGTCCCCTAATGTCCGTCGCCATTTGCTCCGGGTTTCTGGTTTCTATCGTCGCGTATGCCTCCGCCCTGATGAGGGGATGCCAGCATCGGATGACTGGATCGCACGTTTATGACTTTTTCATGGGAGCGGAGCTGAATCCCCGCTTATTCCGATGGATCGACATGAAGATGTTCTTCGAGGTTCGCATTCCGTGGTACATACTGTTTTTGTTGACCTTGGGTACGGCATTAAAACAATGGGAAGAGCTCGGGTTTGTCTCGGGCGAGGTCGCTTTCCTGCTCATGGCACACTTCTTGTATGCGAATGCCTGTGCGAAAGGCGAAGAGCTAATCATCACTAGCTGGTAGGTGCTTTCAGAAGCTTGGATAGGGCTTGAGCTGATTAGAGCTAGGGACATGTATTATGAGAAATGGGGCTTCATGCTCATTTTCTGGAACCTCGCTGGTGTTCCCATGAGCTACTGCCATTGCACCCTGTATCTGGCGAACCACGATCCGTCAACATACCGATGGAACCCAGCGATTGTGGCTGCGTGGGCTACTCTATATCTGTTCATGTACTGGGTTTGGGACACTTGCAACAGTCAGAAGAACATCTTCCGTGCTCAAGAGAGGGGTGTCTCTGTGACGCGCAGGACATTCCCACAGCTTCCATGGAGGGCTGTGAAGAACCCGAAGTCAATTGCGACTAAGACTGGAGACTCTATTTTGTGCAGCGGTTGGTGTAAGTTGATCCGGCTCCCGATGACATTGGAATGATGGCTGATATCTAGCAGATGGTATGGCCCGGAAGGTCCATTACACCTGTGACTGGTTTTTTGCTTTTTCATGGGGACTGATCACCGGCTTCAAATCACCGTTCCCATGGTTCTATTCCATATTTTTCACCGTGATGATTATCCACCGTGCTCGTCGCGATATCGAACGCTGCCGCGAGAGATATGGGGAAGCATGGCGTGAGTACGAACGACGGGTTCCGTATTTGTTCATCCCAGTAAGTCATTCCCACCCACTGAATGTTGGCCCTGTGACTGACAGCAGAAAAGTATGTCTTCTGAAGGGTGATTGAGGGATAAGGTCGGAAGGCGTCGAAAACGCGACCGCGGCGTGTGGGCGCATAGGTATAATAAGTCACATCTGAATAATTTAACTCATGTAATCTGAATTCAAGATATCCATCACCGATCGATTGGCCCCAATGAAGTCGTTCAAGAACATGGAAATGTCGGTCTGGCTCATAAGAGAATCAAAGGTGTTTTCTGGCCATGAGACATCTGGGAAAGCAATGTTGGCCGCCCCGTGCGCGGCAGGCATGACAAGTGATCCATCCTGGTGACGTTCGATGCCGGACAATGTTTGTCGAGATTTAACTAGAACCTGAGCAGCCTTGACAAATGCTTCGCACACTGTGTATAGATGCATTGAACCCCGCGATAGTCCCTTGATAAGCTCCAAAGAGCTCACGGTGTCCTGCAAAAGGGCTAGATCAACCGCGCTTGCGGTGGTAATGGCGTGGGTGAACACAATGACAAAAGGTGTAAAGGAAGGATAGAGCAATATCCTATACTTGGTAAGTCGCTATTAGTTTCGTAGGTATCAGGGAACGTACCAATTCACATATTCGGTTTGTTTGTGGGTTTGCCGGCCACGGAAGTATGTAAAGCATTTGAGGTGACTGTGAAGTGCTAACGTAGCAATCTCGTAGCATCGCGATGAGATTGCCATGGCATCCCCCGGTCGAGTCTGAGCCCGATAGATGACAGTCAACACGGAGTAAGCGATGAAATCAGCACAAGCCGCAATGCCGTGCAAGGAGTCAGCATAAAGACCCAAGCTTACGTCGATCTGCGGTAAGCGTTAGATATCAATCTTAGAACGACAGAGCCAGGCTTTACCGTCAGCAACTTATCTCGAACCGCCTCTAAGTCCGAGGAAAGCTTTTCGATCGCTGCAGCTCTCTGCTCATCGCTGGCCCGACAAGCAGATGTTGAGTATAGTTGATCGTAGACTTTTCCTTGAATACTGGCAAACTCCATGCGAACAATACTCATCAAGTCCCAGGGACGTTGCTTTGGGTCTTCTGATGGCATGAAGAGGTCGGCATCAATATCATGGTCTTGAAAGTGAGATGTCAGGCCGATGTTCAGAGAGATGTTCTTGTCAATCGTGTACAGTGCCCAGAAGGCATGGCGTTTAGCCTCTGCAATGGGTAGTGGGTCGTTTTTCAATGCTGTACGCCGATGCAGTCCCATGGTTTGGCACATATTGAAAGCCAACGATAAATATGTCCAGCACCGCTGAATATCGAATTCCTCTTGCGATTTTGTTATCTGTACCTGTTAGACCAATTCAAGCACGAGGATTGAGCTACTCACTCCAATTAGCAGTGCTTGTATCTTCTCCAACGTTGGCTCAACCATGATGGCGGGTTCCCTTAGACCTGCATCAAGCTGTGCTTCGCATGTTTTCAGTGCTGATGACAAGTCATAACGCGCGAGGTCAGGATCCTGTGCGTGGAAATAGTCGCGTATGACATAAAAGAAGAGCCCGTAGAAGAGTGTAAACGTTCCAGCAGGGACTGGATCGAGTGGAAAGTATATGGAGTGACAAAGAGACTCTATGCGAGGTGCGTCAATCCAGGACTGACTGACCAAAGTGAACGGAGGTTGTGCTGCCCTGCGTCAATTGTCAATCACGAGGAAGGGAGGAGGTACAAACGAACCTTTGACTTTCTTTACCACGGCGATGACCAACTCTACAGGAAGTAACTGGTCTTTTGGCTGAGTGCTGGGCTGCGTCTCCCCGTGCGTTACTGATGCGCGGTGCCTATCAAGGCTGGTTTGAAGTGACGCAAGTGCGGCTGACACATAGTCGCCTAGTTGCCCATTCTGAGCAGTGTCCACGGCAGAATATGCAGCATCCCTGGCTACCAGAGTTTCATGGTGGAAAGACGAGTGGCCTTCGAATGGAGGTATTGTCGGTCCCGATGGAGGCGACTCCCGGGCCGGCTTGGCCGGGCTAGATGAGTTGGAAGACTGCGTGATGTGTTCGAGTGTCTGCTGAATTGTGGCAAGCTGTTCCTGTAACGCAGAGAATCGGTGTTCACTATGCAACAGATCAGCCTGGTAGCCTCGCAATGAGCTCAAAGCCTCATACTAGTCATCTGGTATGCTGTTGCGAGGCGTCTCCGAAGCAGTCGACTGTCCTCCAACTGGTCTGCAAGGTATCCCCAAAGTGCCACAGCTCGAACAGGGACTAGTCTTGTCGCATTTGATCTGTTATAATGCTTATTAGATGATGGCCCTTGAGTCTACCCTATTTAAAGGGGAATATACTTTGCGAAGACGACAATTGTCGCACTATGATGGGTCAATTGCTATTTCACTCAACACAAGGAGCGGAAGGAGGATGCATACCGCGCGGGCCCGAAAGCTGCGGGCAGTTGTGGGAGTGCCAGCAGCCATCCTCACACCAAATGGCTGGTTTTCATTCAAGTTCTCATGTAGCTTGGCATAGTCCTCGGACAAGCATGAGATTATATGTCTGGTTGACT